GTCTTTTGGTTTACTTAAGATGTTTTGGAGTGATTTTGTTGGTTTGTGTGCTACAGAGATGCCGTAGCACAAGAAAAAAACAAACAGGAGTCATCTACAACATACAGTGTAAGGACTGTAAGAAAAGAACCAATCTCAGAGAACCCCGAGGACTCCACAAAATATTTTCCGTCTTTTTGAACTCTTGGCTTGAGCGAGGTAGATACCTCCCGGGCTTCTGCCTGAGCTTGCTATCTATGCTTCTGCTTGAGTTAGGGCTTTGCCCATTAACCGTTTGTTATCAACAACCTGCAGAGGAGTTGTGAGCCATTAGAGAAGGCAGCCTGCCTCCAGCCTCCCCTTCCCTGGAAAGCTAGCCCGCTGGACCGGCTGGCTGATGCAACTCCAAAATGGCTGATGGGATATGTTCTACTGACAGATTGATAGGCTGAGAGACTCTCTTCCTCTCCTGTACTTACTGCACAGTTTAGAGCTTTGAGTGAAGTTTAGCCCCTGTTTTTCTTGCTGCTATTTGATGGCACATTTTTATTGCACTCAGCTCTTGGGTGGTCCTTTTTCCATAAAAACCATCCCTGAGGAGCAGTTGGATCAATGCTGAGTAGAGGAAGATGATGCATTTTAAGATTTCCTTGAGGTGCCTGTTCTCCCGGCACCTGTGACACAGTTCATTTGGCATATTTAAATTTAAAGGCCTTTAAAACAGACCCCTGAATCCACAGAGAGTTCAGAGAACAGAGCTGTTTGCATATAGTCATTGCACGAGCATTGGTTTTGTCAAATGAGAGAGTAGCCATTTTCCCATCTGATACGCTAGGAACTTAGCAGAGGAAAAGGGCATATAGGTAAGCGCTTAAAATAAGCTGGAATCGCCCAGTAGACTGAGCCTGATAAATAATGGAGGTTGGTGTGCCTCCAGAGTTCTTAATACATTTATTTTTTCCTCAGTGTTTTCTTATGAGTGATTTTTAAAAAGTGTCTTCCTTTTGATTTTCTTTTCAAATATTTAGATTTAGCCTCATTCAATATGCCCAGCAGCCAAGCTCCCTGCTCTGCACACACATACATGTACACACACACATATTTATGTATACAGACACACACAAGAATTAATGGAAAGCTAGCATGCTGCAAAGAAAAGGTAGCTTGTATTTTCTAACAGTGCTTTTGCATTCTACATAGATCCTAGAAACATTTTCAGAAAATAAATTTTGCCTTCTGGTAAGTGAAGTTTTGTGATCATACTTAGGACACCCATTTTGTAAAATCTCTATTATGCTCTCAAAATTCCAAATGTGTCTATTGTTTCAAAAAGGTTAAGGGTCCCTGAAGTAAACTAGAATGTTAGATAGTTTGGCTGAGCATGTGGTGTGAACTGAGCCGCCATGGCTTAGGCCAATGACAGGTGATCTTTTCAGCACCTGGAAACATATAAGGGGTGACCTTTTTTAGGTGGCTTATGAGATGGCAGGCTCATCCTAGAGTCTGGGCACAAGAATGGGATGTCATGCAAGAATTCCAAAAATCACATGAGGAAAAAGCTTTTGGTTGGTTGGAGTCCACAGTTGGTAGAGCAGTGACCCAAAATACATGGAGCTGCATGCATGTCTGTCTGTCTGTCTGTCTGTCTGTCTGTCTGTCTGTCTGTCTGTCTGTCTATTCAACGTCAGGCTTGGGCGACAAGCCGGTTGCTCAATTCCTGTTGCAACTAATGGATTAACAATCAGTTGATCTGAAAAAAGTGGACCCTGCACCTGTGGGAAAAATGCTAGGAAGAAAAAAAATATTTTCAAAGACAAGAAAAATATTTTCTGTTTTGTGTTAGGAACCTCATTACTAGGGCACTGGAATTCCCTAAAATCAGAATGCTCACTAGGAAATAATAGAAGCTGACTGGCTGTATTGTTCTCAGGGCACCCGTTGCGATGGCAATAGACTGGAATTTCTGATCGTGTGGTAGTTCCTGGCACCTCCCTTGGGCAAAGAAGCTGGGCTTCTCCCCCCTCTAGGCACAGAGGCATTGCTGTAAACCTGACATTGCTGCACCAACAACCAATTCCTTGAAGAACTGCACAAGCAGGAATGCTGTTGGATGTAATACTAGCAAACGACTAACCATGTTAGCTTCTTATTAGAAAAGCCTTATTACCAGGAAAACTGGTATTTAGAAAATAAGTCCATCTTTTACTTCCTTGGGTTGCAGGAAAAGTCCCTCAGCAATTCCAGCCTGTGTCGTGAACTGCAGCTTAGCCGTGTCTGGAAGAACATTGGTTTGCCACCCCTGGTGTGCAGTATACCTAGTTGCATGGAGAAATAGCAAGAGCTTCCTCTTAAACCCGAAGTTGGAGCTACCAATAATTTTAGATTTACTCAGCTTCTGCTGATTCTCACCAGATCTAAGGAGCATCATCTCGATCTCTTTCAGCAGTTCCAATCTTGATGCCTGACCTAAACTATTGATCTGGCCCTGAATATGTTTACACAAGTACCTCAGAACCTCTACTAAGTGGGCCAGAGCAGAGACAGGCAATTTTATGCAACTGGACCCCCATTTCTGTTTCTTTAAAACACTGGAGTGGCAGAAGGCCAGAGGTAGAAGATGACTTCAACAAGAGGTCTGAGGGAATTTGGGGCACATTTTTCCTCTCCTTTAATTCTGAATTTTTATTTTGTTTACAGCTTTTGGAGGTACAAACACTACCTTTTAAAGGGTTAGCACGCTTTTATTTCAGGTGGAAAATACTGTTTCCTTGGCCATTCTGCAGATGTGTTGTTGAATGAATGTCTTTATCAGGCACATTGCTGGCCCCAAGAAAATAGAGAATACAGCCAGAGAATTATGTCTCCTCCTCCCCATGGGGCATTTATAAGTACTTGTGAGTATGGAAATAACTACCTAGTATATCTGAACTATCTTGGCTGCCTTCTCCTTAGTCACCTCTTACCATTGATGGCAGCTACTCTTCTGCATATCTCCTAGGCAAAGTGGAGTCAGTGTCTGTGATTTCAGAGATAGCCAGCTTGTTATTATCCAAGTTCTCTTTATGGAACTTAAGCAAAGCTATCTACAATATTCACCTCTTGTGGTGTAGAGCACCACCATCACTGTTCCTCCTGATGGAACCATTGTGACATTTG